CACGAGGTTGTCAAGGCTTTAAATAGACAAAGAACAACCTAATTTGAACTCTAAACAAACAAGGAAAACCAATCAGAATTCTAACTTAACAAGGAAACAAAAATCCTTTCTTAAAATGGACACAAAACACACACGCCCCCTGCCTTCCTGCGCAAGTAATCCATACAGCTTCCATAGCGACTTTGGAGCTCTCGATCATGGGCTTCCAAGAAGGTTCGACGAGAACAGCCTTCAGTCGTTTGTTCCCTGGGTCTCGTACTACAATTCCCAACTCGCCTCGTCCCTCGACAATGCCCCATCGGAATTGAATAAGCCTCCAAAGTCGGGTCCTTGAACTGGTTCCAGACTTAGCAAAAAATGAGGCAATTGACAATGTGATGCTAACAACTTGAGGCCTCTTGATCAACCCTCTTTGGCTCTTAATTCGCGCAACCAAGCCTTCAACGTGGTCTATAAGCACTTGATCTCTCATTACCAACCTTCCTCTAGCAATTCCATCAACCGAGAGGTAAGATACGAACCTGCAAAGCAAGCACCACGACACAAGTTGAACACTTAACCAAACACGACCCTTCTTCCTTCCAACGTTGGTGGATTGTTTGGAGATCAATTCGAGCTTGGACACAAGGCTAGATGGAATCACATCAGGCCCCATTTCTTTAAAAAGCTTTGTCCTCAAAGCTGGACCACACCTGTAGTTAAAAACAGCGTCAGACTGGACCCAAAAAGGGTCGAAAAAGGTACCCCGCGGTCGGAAATTTGAGCTCCGGCGAGGGCCTCAATTCGGAAACTTGATGTTTCATGGCGTTCCACAGTAGTTGAACGGCTGGGTTATGTTGTTTTGCCGTCCGGGATCCATCTTCGACCAGGTTCCGCCTTGGAATTCCTTCGACCGACTCCCAAACGCGTGATACAATTTTCCCGCCACCGAAAAATTCAAATTTTCCAGATTCCGGCGAAGAAAACCCAGAATCCGGTGACCTCAATGTGAAATTGGGGAAAATCAACTCAGGCCCTTTCGAGTCGATCTCCTTGCTTCTACACCATCCTTGGGACATGAGAAATCGAACCCAGGTGGTTAATTGCGCCGGATAAACACCAATCGTCACACCCGATTCACCCTCCTTGGCCTCGTTCCCCTGCTCGTTTTTGCCCGGAAATGGCCATTTGGGCGTTTGGGTTGTTCCACCCTCTGCCTCGTTTTGGCCGTCGCTACACATTCTGGGGCCGCGAACAAACTTCTTGGCATAGGTAGATTGCTTCGACTCAACGCTCAACTCTCCACCCAATTCGCTCTCTCTCCTCCCCTGCCGCGGCGGAGACGAAACACAGGGCAGCTCTGCCTTGGGCGTCCGCGGAGCTGTAGGCCGTTTCAAGGCAGTCAACATGAACCCCATACGTGCCAAAATTGTCCTCCGTCGTAGCCCTCCAGAGTCTTCACCGTCTCGGGCTCGCATTGAAGCCATTCGTTGCTGATCGGAGCGAACCTCGGATGGCGATAATGGTTTGAGCATAACACGCTTACCATTGTACAGAAAACGGTAACAATTGGACCCTCCGTCATGAGTCACAGCTCGATCGTACTGCCAAGGTCGGCCAAGCAAAAGATGGGCTGCTTGCATCGGTGCCACATCACAAACTAGCTCGTCATTGTAGCCGCCGATTTCAAACGCAACTCGAGCTTGCCTGGTCACCTTGATAGCCCCATAATCATTCAACCAATGTAAACTGTATGGTTCGGGGTGCTTAATTGTCTCGAGCCCTAGCCTTTTGACGGCGTCTAGACTGATCACGTTAGTACAACTCCCTCCATCAACGACCACCGACAAACACTTGCCATTAACGAGACACCTGGTGTGGAACAGATTGGTTCGCTGGCCGTTGCTGACTTCATCATCTACTACCAATGCCCGTAAATTCATTCCTGACAGGAAAGGTCCAGACTCAGCCTCTATTTCTTCGTCTACATCTTCATCCGACGAGCTTCGTTCCTTGGCTTTATGTTCAGCTTCTTCGTCGGAGATGTATTCGCCGTAGCGTAAGATCAAGGCCTTAATGTTCGGACAATGGTTGGCTTTATGGCCTCTGCCGTGACATTTAAAACACTGGATTGAACCCGATCGCTCTGTGGGAAGCGGATTAACACTTCTGGGGACTAATTTCGCTGCATCCGTTCGTGGTTGAGGTGAGTTAATGTCAGAATTGGGCTCTGTCATTGTCTTCGTGGCTGGTGGAAACTTTCGTCCTGTCGAGGCCCTTTGCTGCTTCTCAACCTTCGAGGCAAAATGAACAGCTTCTTCCAGGTCCATGAAAGGTCTTAGCTCGACCTCGTTTCGAATTTCGCGGTTCAACCCATTTAAAAACCGCGCGATGGTTGCTTCCCGGTCCTCGCGAACATCTGCTCGCAGTAAGAGCAATTCGAGCTCTCTATAATAATCTTCCAGCCCTCTTGAACCCTGGCGAATACTCTGTAACGAGTCATGGATTTCGCGTAGGTAGTATCCTGAAACAAACCGTTCCCTCATTAACCCACGCAGTTCATCCCAGGTTGCCACCGCTGGTTGCAAATTTCGTCGTCGACGAATCTGAAGTTGCTCCCACCATTGGGCAGCATAATCCGCGAACTCATATGTGATCATTGCCAGCTTTTGTTGTTCGCTGAACTGTCCGCATTGAAAAAAAAGAATAACCTTCCGTTCTCAATCAAGATATGTGGCTGCATTCATCGTTCCGTGAAAAACTGGGACGGACAGTTTGATTCCTTGAGGGATGGCATGTTCTGCCTCATACTGATCACGTCGCCCTCGTTGTTGGTGTTCATGATCTGGTTTTGCAACTACTAGACGCCGTTCGATCTCCTCGATTCGTTCCAACAAGACCGGATTTCTAGCTGGAACTTCGCCGGCGGGAGCTTCCCCTGTCCTAACTCGATTGTCCGGCGGCGCTATTGCATCGAGCCGCTGGTTGATGTCTCGCTTGAACTGGCCCAGTTGAGCCTGGAATCGTGCATCAATCTGGGCTAGGAAGTCCTCCATGTTAAACTGTTACCCCGCCATTGTCGAGCCCTCAATTGGAGTTTTGAATTCCAATTCTGTCTTTTCCTCTGCTTTCTGACGACGCACGGCAGGGTCGCTGGAAACAGAGCCCCTTGACCTTGTCCAATGTGCGACTTCTTCACTGCTTCCTTTCTTCTTGGCCACTGAGTTTGAACCAAGGCTCTGATGCCACTTGATACGAGCACAGTTGTGCTCGTTAGGAATCAATACGCGCAACTCGACTCTCCTCCAATGAAACTTGAATTTCAACAACTTAAAACGAAAATAAAACGGACCAAAAGTGCAACTTCACACTTGGGAAGAGGCTCGATTGGTTTAAGTCAAAGCTCGGCCACGATTGATGTGGTTTCAATCGATACGAAGCAAACTTGCTGCTGGAACGCAACCAACACACAAGAATTTGGTGACAAAGTTACAACTTTTCTTTCAATCAAAAAATGACTTTTACACGAGGTTGTCAAGGCTTTAAATAGACAAAGAACAACCTAATTTGAACTCTAAACAAACAAGGAAAACAAATCAGAATTCTAACTCAACAAGGAAACAAAAATCCTTTCTTAAAATGGACACAAAACACACACGCCCCCCCTGCCTTCCTGCGCAAGTAATCCATACAGCTTCCATAGCGACTTTGGAGCTCTCGATCATGGGCTTCCAAGAAGGTTCGACGAGAACAGCCTTCAGTCGTTTGTTCCCTGGGTCTCGTACTGCAATTCCCAACTCGCCTCGTCCCTCGACAATGCCCCATCAGAATTGAATAAGCCTCCAAAGTCGGGTCCTTGAACTGGTTCCAGACTTAGCCAAAAATGAGGCAATTGACAGAGTGATGCTAACAACTTGAGGCCTCTTGATCAACCCTCTTTGGCTCTTAATTCGCGCAACCAAGCCTTCAACGTGGTCTATAAGCACTTGATCTCTCATTACCAACCTTCCTCCAGCAATTCCATCAACCGAGAGGTAAGATACGAACCTGCAAAGCAAGCACCACGACACAAGTTGAACACTTAACCAAATACGACCCTTCTTCCTTCCAACGTTGGTGGATTGTTTGGAGATCAATTCGAGCTTGGACACAAGGCTAGATGGAATCACATCAATTTGGGTTTGTTCATCGAATCTCAGCGAGAAACCAGTGGAACCAGGTGATTGTTTGGAGTTTTAGAGGAATCCGATGGTGGGTTTCAGTGGTCTAGATGGGATTCCAAGAACATGCAGATTTGTATATGGGTCAGTGACTACTCTCATTCTTTTGTAGATGGATCCTCTCTTCTCCCTTGGGCGTATTCGATTAGTTTTCTCTGGAGGAAAAACTATTGATATAATTGTGACAGAGGCTTTGACTGTGGTCGTCAAACTCATACTAGGATATGATACTGTATTATTATGCTTTCTGTTTTTCTCTCCGAAGTCCATTTACATCTTTGTCATCTCTTTCATTGAATTGATCTGTTGATTTGTTTCAGGTAGATTTTCACCTTGACGGTTTCACTCTTCCCACAGAGACGGCTTGCTAATGTCGTGGCGGATTAGACCACTGTGGCTGAAGATAGGGAATAGAACGCTGATCAAGTTTTACCCTTAATAGATAATAAAGTCAGATTTGAGAATGGACAAAGATTTGTCCTTCTAGATGCTGCAGAGGATATATCTATAATCTATGGAATGTTCCCATTACTTTTTATCTCATTCCTTCTCTTTGCATCAATGAATTAATCTCTCTTTCCATTCTTATACCAGGTAATAGGTGTTCAAGCTACATCCCATTATCTGAAGTGGAGATCTTTGGTTTAAGGTCTGAATCTACATGAATTAGCAGAGAGACTGACTCAAAGCTTCTCATTTTCTTTTGGTTCTTTGGTTGCAGGCAGTTCTGTCTCAATTCAACCAAAGGTGATATAATGTTTCTCTCTCACTATAAATCCTTCTTCCATCCTAATTAATCGGCTACACGATCTTCTTCCTCACATTTTGTATTACATTTTCAGCCTGTTTCATCACTATGTCATCCATTAAATTATGGTGTTGTTTTGGAAGTAACTAAGCATGTATTATCTGTTAATGATTTAATGCTCTGATTCTTTCGTCCTCTTCTTAGCCTGTGTGTTGAAGGCAAGTGTTCTGTGAAGTTGGGTGCGTAACAGGCATGGTTATAACTACTATGATCTGTCAATGGCTTACGATTAGATCCCTTCCATTTATGTTGTTGGATTGAGGCTAGACATTAGGTTAGTGTTTGTTTATCTTGCACTAAAAGCAGTATGGATGAAGCTACTGTCTGAGGTTTGTGTTGCCGAGGATGTAAAGGTTTTGCTTTGTGATTTTATCATTCTTGGGTTCTTTCAGCTTCTGTAGCAAGTGTGCATATATACAGGGGGTTTTACTTTTATTCTAACTATAATTGCTTGCTGATCGTTATTTGCAGCAAGCAATGAAAAGTTGGAGACCAGGGCTAGGAACCTGTGGCAAACCAAGTGACTTAATAGAAGATTTTATCAACAAAATTAATGTCATTGTCAAATGTATTTTAATTCCAAGATATGCTTATGTATGACATTAAAGTCAACGTTGATATTCATTTATTCGGTTAATTGTCAAGTTAAGTTGTATGATTTCTATTATTCCCAAAAAAATGGTCTTTTTTACAGGGTGACGAGAATCATCATTCTGCCCATGATACTAATATTTATCTAATTCCAAAGTTATGTGCACACCATGTAGCTCTGAAATTTTCTGTGAAACATCATAGTTTATTGCTGTTTACACTTAAAAAATAATCTTGTACCATATTGATTATTTACAAGGCATTTATTATATTTATAAGGCCAGATCATTAATGAAATTAATGATCTTTGAACTGGGCCTCATGATAATAATTTTAAGCCCCAAACTACTAAGTCTCCAAGAAGGAGCTAGTCTCGTCGCGAGTTGAAAAGCCCGGCGTGGTCATGAGATTTAGACCATGTCGGCATCAAATTTAGAGCCCGACGTGGTCATGAGATCTAGACCGTGTTGGCATCAAATCTAGAGCTCTACGTGGTCATGAGATCTAGACCATGTTGGCTTCAGATCTAGAGCTCTACGTGGTCATGAGATCTAGACCACGTTGGCTTCAAACTTAGAGCTCGACGTGGTCATGAGATCTAGACCACGTTGGCTTCAAACTTAGAGCTCGACGTGGTCGCGAGATCTAGACCACGTCGTGAGACCATGTCCAAGATCTGAGCTAACAAGTTGGAAGTAAGAAGGCAAGTCATGTGGGAGAGGCAAGTAACAAGACGACAGTTCCAGGATGAAGAGTAGGCGGTTAACGGAGAAACTGCTGATTATCCCACGTACAATGACACGTCAGCCACGTCCAAGAAAGAAGGGAAGCAGTTCTTTTTGGAAGTTACTCTAAGACAGTTTTCTACGACGGTTATCATCTCAAGCCTATAAATAGGAGGAGGAGTTGACATAGAGGAGGTTCGCCAAATTCACACCAGACAACACAATGTCAAATTTTATCCCTTTATCCTTTCCTTTGCAATTTTAGTCATAGTAGTAGATCTGGAGCTCTCACTGAACCTCCATAGGAGTAGGAGTAATTTAATGTAGATCTGTCTCGAGATTCGTGTAAACATCGATCATCCTCGTTCGAATTGTGTTTGAAGAGGTGTTAATTGTGTTAAGTTAATCGTTGTCCAAAGAAGTCGAGGTGCAATCAATACCAATTCAACGCAAGTTTTCTCACCGGAGAACAAATTTGGCATACCCGGTGGGACACTTGTGGTCGATTCAATGGCCCCGAGGCGGAGGAACCAAGAAGGTGACGTTCCGGCTGGATTCGTGGAGGAGCAGGCGGCCAACATCGAGCATGGCCAAGCGGCCGACGCGGTGACCGGAGGAAACGGTGGAGCAGAGATCTTGGTGGCAACCGCGCCTGGTGGAGATCTCGGCGAAGTAGTGGGGGCCCTTCGTCAGATGATGGAGGAGAATCGCAAGATGCTTGCAGAGAACCGTCAAGCCTTGAAGGAGAACCGCAAAATGGTGGTAGAAACTCGTCTAGCCTTGGAGGAGAACCGCCAAGTGATAGAGGAGAACCGCCGATGCATTTAGAAGGCCTTGGCAGGTACCAATAAGATAATTTCTCAACTTGATTGTTTTTATTCAAGTTTTGATAGGCATGTGGATAAGATTTTGGAGATAAGTAAAAACGATCTAAGAGATTTCGGAAAAATTTTAATAAAACCAGTGTCGCAATCAATGGTTTTGACGCAAAATGGTTTAGAACTAACACCAAATAATAAAATTGTGTGCAAAAATCTTTCTCCCTCCTATGGGTGGTATACCCAGCCACGAACAGAGAACTTGTTATCTCCCGTGGCAACTCAACCGCCCCCTCTACGTGAGGGTTGTGGTGAGAGATCCACCTCGACTTTGAACAACAGTGATGGGGTCTTGCATGTACAAGGTGATGTTCAACCATTCGTTCTCGAGACAAGATCAGATGAGACACTTGTCAATGGACGAGATTGTGAAGATCCTTTAAACGTGGAACAAGTACCACCACATGCTTGCCCACCCCCAAAGCCACCCCTATTGAGTGGACAAATAGGTGATTCTGATGGACTCAAAACACCTAGAGCTCAGCAAGGGGGGCATGAAAGTCTAATTTCCACAAGTTGACGCCGAGATGTCCATCTGGGGGGTATGTGGTGTCTAAGAGCTCACATCAATCACAAGCAATACATGCTTGTGCTAAACCTATTAATTTGGCTAAGTCTGGAAAGGGGGGCATGCCTCCAACCACTTGCAGTGGACATGGGGGCATATCTAACAAGTCACGACGTGAGAAAGCCATAAAAAGTTATTGTAGATTTGAAAATTTGGCTAAGTATGGACAAGACATGTCCAAGAAGCCATATGAAGTGCAAGTCACACATGTTTGCGATAAGCATGCTAATTTGACTAAGTCTGGACAAGGGAGCATGTCACCCACCATGAAGAATGGAGTAGAGGGCTTCTTCAAGAAGACACAACAAGTCAAACCCCCACATGGATTTTGTAAGCGTGAGATTATGGACAAGGGTGGAATGGGGAGGGGGGGGGGGGCAAGTCCATATCAATGAATAGTAAGTACTCGACACCAACTACAAAGAGTGGACATGGGGGCATGTATAAGAAGTCACCATACACACCAACCAAACATTGTTGCGCAAAGAATCAATGGTGGTTGAGTGCTAAGTGTAGGGGACAACAAGGTTTATTTGTTGAAAGACGAAGACAAGGAAGCTACACGAGTGGTTGTCGACTTGTCAAGCCTAGACCTGGTCCCCAACATCATGATGAGATTAATCATGTATCAAGTGGGAGGAAATCAAGGCAAAAGAATAATCATGATAGCCTTGACATGTCAAGTAAGGCGGCCCAAGCAAAGAAGCATGAGACCTCATGTAAGGCCACTAAGACTAAACAGGCTGACCATGTATCACCCATTAGCAAGCTAGAAAATTCAAAGTTAATATATGAAGATTCATCTCCCATGGAGGAAAAGAGTCATGTGGTCTATGGATGGCATGTCTGGTTTGATCCATGGACTTGGCAATGGGTGTACACCTTTGGTACATTGATTGTTGCGCAGTGGCGGATCCAGGGGGTGGCCACCCCGGGCCCCGGCCCAGCCCTCCTCTGGATCCATAGTTAGTAAAGGCCTTATGAATTTTTCGATTTTAGATATTAGGGTCGTTGTTATTTTAAAATAAGATTGGTATAATTAGAAAAATAATTCAGATGAACATATTCAAAATCACTACTCTAAATTTAGCTTATAAATTCTAACCCCAAAGGTTATTCGTCTAAAAAAACAATGAAACCTAAAAATTCAAAAAGTTTAAAACGTAAAAGACTAAAACATATATGAGGTTTGTTACCTTGGAAAATTTACTAGAGCAGCTGGTGGATATAGGGATGGAAACACAATGCAAATAGATTAGTAGCTTGATTTGTCTAGTGTTGATGCTGCTCGTTTCAACATCTAATACGAATAGAACCTTTTCAACAATGAAACATGTGAAAATTGATTTGCGCAACAAAATGAGCTATGGATTTCTAGTCGATTGCTCAAGTATTTTATTTGAAACAGTGTACTATTGGTATGGATGTGGACTCCATTATTAATGCATTCTCTAAATTAAAATACCGCCGTGTACAATTTACATTGTAAAAAATTTATAATCATTATATTTTTTTTACTATTCTAATTTTCTAATAAAATGCGGCCCAGTGCACTTCTGTGTTCTGGATCCGCCGCTGTTGTTGCGAAAGGCTATGGAGAGCAGTGACATTTGTCACTTCTTGCCATATAAAATAAATAAATTTATATAATGTACTTATTATATATTAGTTATAAAAAAATATTGAAGCCAACCATGGCTAAAAGAAAAAGATAGAAGGAAAATATCAAAGCGAAAATCTTGAGTCGGAGTTGTTAGACTTCGACATGAAGATCTTGCCACCAAGTCATTGTGATAGCTTGACATGATGAGCCATACATCAGGCAATGCCATGGCATGTTATCTTGTCCCGAGTAGCCACGGCCTGGGGTGGCATGATGGCTTGAAAGTGGTAGTAGAGGAGTGGTGACCATAATGTCTCTACCAACATAAAAATGAACATTATTTTTTCTAAGGCAAAAAAGTAGACGGCTTGACTTGTCGCGAGGGAGCTGTCTAGCCTTGTGACGAGGTGGGATGAGCCAATCTATGCCAAAATAGGTGCGAAAAATTCTAAGTTATTCTCTCAACCATGTGGCCAAGTACGGGATGTCAATGAGGGTGTAGGTGATAAAGTGAAGTTGGTGTCTCGTTGAATGCATTAGGTGGCTTGACCATTAAAAGCCAAAATTTGGCTAAGGCATGGGACAAGTCGTTGACGTCGAGTTCCATCCGGCCATGTTGGCATGATCATTGAAATCCAAAATTTGGCTAAGGCATGAGACAAGCCTTGACGGCGAGTTCCATCCGGCCATGTTGGCTTGATAATTAAAAGCCAAAAATTTGGCTAAGGCATGAGACAAGTTTTGACGTCGAGCTCCATCCTATAGTGTTGGCTTGGCGTGAAAGCCAAATTTTGGCTAAGGATGAACTAGGTGTGTTGAATAGACTCTAGCCAGCTTGTTACTTTCACTAGCATGGTGGTGTTCAACTACTTAGTCCATAATTCTTATGCACTAAGTAGTTGGGGGGCATTTGTTTACACCTAAAAAATAATCTAGTACCACATTGATTATTTACAAGGCATTTATTATATTTATAAGGCCAGATCATTAATGAAATTAATGATCTTTGAACTGGGCCTCATGATAATAATTTTAAGCCCCAAACTACTAAGTCTCCAAGAAGGAGCTAGTCTCGTCGCGAGTTGAAAAGCCCGGCGTGGTCACGAGATTTAGACCATGTCGGCATCAAATTTAGAGCCTGATGTGGTCACGAGATCTAGACCATGTCAGCATCAAATTTAGAGCCCAACGTGGTCATGAGATCTATACCGTGTCGGCATCAAATCTAGAGCTCTACGTGGTCATGAGATCTAGACCACGTCGGCATCAAATCTAGAGCTCTACGTGGTCATGAGATCTAGACCACGTTGGCTTCAAACTTAGAGCTCGACGTGCTCATGAGATCTAGACCACGTTGGCTTCAACCTTAGAGCTCGACGTGGTCGCGAGATCTAGACCACGTCGTGAGACCATGTCCAAGATATGAGCTAACAAGTTGGAAGTAAGAAGGCAAGTCATGTCGGAGAGGCAAGTAACAAGACGGCAGTTCCAGGATGAAGAGCAGGCAGTTAACGGAGAAACTGCTGATTATACCACGTACAATGACACGTCAGCCACGTCCGAGAAAGAAGGGAAGCAGTTCTTTTTGGAAGTTACTCTAAGACAGTTTTCTACGATAGTTATCATCTCAAGCCTATAAATAGGAGGAGGAGTTGACAGAGAGGAGGTTCGCCAAATTCACACCAGACAACACAATGTCAAATTTTATCCCTTTATCCTTTCCTTTGTAATTTTAGTCGTAGTAGTAGATCTGGAGCTCTCACTGAACATCCATAGGAGTAGGAGTAACTTAATGTGGATCTGTCTCGAGAGTCGTGTAAACATCGATCACCCTCGTTCGAACTGTGTTTGAAGAGGTGTGAACTATGTTAAGTTAATCGTTGTCCAAAGAAGTCGAGGTGCAATCAATACCAATTCAACGCAAGTTTTCTCACCGGAGAACAGTTGCACGTTGGTTGTATGTGTTAGGAGTTTTAATTATCAGTATTCAGTAAAGATTGTACAAATTTCTCTTAAGTGTCATTGTCTACGAATTATTATCTTTTCATGTGAGATTGACCAAATAAATTTATGCACTTTATAACCGACATTCTATCACACATCCCAGCGCGAAGCGTGGGCATTGAGAACTAGTGTTTATAAAAGCACACAACAAGTATTTTAATGCACACCACAAATATATTGTCTTGGCCGTTCGAGATACATGCCTTTCGAGATATTGATGGAGTCACTATGTTGCTTCCTTTTGATGTCTTGCAATATTGGAAGTAGGGCTGGGAAACGGTGCGGTTTGGTCCAGACCAGACCATATATACGGTCTATGGTTTAGACCGAGAGGCTGAAGTATAGACCACAGACCAGACCACAGACTATACGATCTGGTCCAGACCACGCATGTGCGGTCTGGTTTGGTTTGGTCTAGTTCAGATAGACCACACTCAAAGAAAAATGAATAATTTGTTTAGTCAACCACAAAAAAAATTGAACTAATAACCAAGAAAAATAATTGTTATTTGCCTTAAAACATTAATCCTAACATGCATGAATAATTTTGATATCCTAAATCTTAGAAATAACAAAAATACAAAGTAAAAGCATACAAACTTGCACCATAATGTTATACACATTAACATAATGTCACATGGAGACACGATTATCTCTACTCTTTGGTTAAATGTGGTTGTGAACGAAGGAGGGACGAGATTCTCAAAATTAAGGTTGATATTTGGGTGTCGTTGTGTGAGTTGGGAGGGTGATCGAATGGGCTATTAACACGTATTGACAAGTCGGTTGGGTCCACGGTTTGGTCCGGTAAACCGCGGTCTAGACCAGACCAGACCAAGAGATCAAAACATAAAATAAACCAGACCATGGACCAGACCAGACCATACTTAACGATCTTCGGTCCAGACCAAACTGTGCGGTGCGGTTTGGACCACGGTTTTTCTAACGGTCTGGTCTGTTTTCCCAGCCCTAATTGGAAGGACCATCTATTTCGATTTTCTCACTTCTCTAGAGTCCTCTTTAAGTTTGGAATGTACAATATTAACAATATGGAGGAGTTCAATTTTGTTGGATACTCTTGAAGTCGTTGTGACAACTCGTAATGGGATACGAGGATACCAAATGGGCAAGAAAAACAAGCTTTTGTATTTGTTCTACATAAGTTACTCAATCTTTTTCTTATCTCTTTTTTTTTCACTGATTAATTATAAAAATGAGGATAAAGATGTGAATGATGACGGAGAAGAAGTAAAGCTTCTAAAGTGTTCGTCCTGTGAAATATCATTTTTTACATGTTTTATTGATACTAGTTTATTGGCCCGCGTTTTGAGCCGGAAATCTATTTCAACTTGTTCTTTGCAAATATATGTGAGAAAGGTAAGATCGAAGTTTCATTTTCCACCTATTCAATTCATATTCCCCTTAATATGATTAGCTTCATTTCTTGTGTTTTGACTCTATAAAATAAGATAGCTATAAATGAATGTGAGTTTTTATCTCTCACATATTTTGATTCCATTATTTGTATCACTCTCCTGATATCCAGACCATTTTTATGTTTAGCCATGACTACGACAACAGTTGAATAATTAGAATTTTATTTCAATTTTATGTTTATTTTTTACTTATTAATTAATCGACTAAACATGAACAATCTTCTCTACAGCCTTTCATTTCATGGACTTTACTTTCCCTTAAAAAGAAGGGAAACATTCATAATCACACCAATCCAAAGTATTAGCGTTTTTTTTAAATATTTAGATTTACATTAATTTAATTTGAGATTTTACATTTATAATGAATTTCAAAATGATAGCAATGGCTATTAGCTAAGAGCCTAAGACTGAAGTTACTACCAAAATCCTAATTTCGACTCTTTTGTTTATCTTGTGAAGAAGCTAATGCTTAGGCTTAGGCAACCGGACCTTTTCCTCACTGTTATAGCTCTATTATGGCGTATCTGGAGATCCCGGAACTGGCTTGTTTTTTAAGGTAAACAATTTGGTATCCCGACTTTAATGCGACAGTTTTCCCATTAGTATAATGAATGGCTTTCTTTACCAAGGGATCGGGATGGACTTGCTCCTATTTCGGTTCCCCGGGCCCTGGCCTCTGTCACCCCACCTGAGGTAGTTTGCCAGTGGGATGGGGCGACAAAAGCGGGCTCTCATTCGGCTGGTGGGGTGGTTATCCGTCAGTGGTCATGAGATGTTCTCCGGGTGCTAGGGGTTCACATTCTTGATATGGATGAGCCAGCGACGGTGGAGTTGCTTGTGCTAAGGGAGGCTATCCTGTGGTGTCTAAGACTAGGGTATCATGTCATATGCTTTGAAGGTGATGCTAAGGTTGTGATTGATAAGATCAACCAATCTAATACAAGGGACAGTAGGATGGGGGCTTTGCTGCAGGAGGTGGTGTCTTATTGCACTCTCCATCAGGGACTTAGTGTTCGATTTGTTGGCCGTAGTAACAATAGGGTAGCCCATGTGGTGGCTAAAAAGGGCCTGGCATTGTACCAGGCTTCATGTCGCTCTTTTGATTTTATGGCGTGGCTGAATTCCAGGATGTAACTCTCTTCTTTTGATTTATATATGATTATCTATTGTAAAAAAAAACTCTTTTGTTTATCTTTACACGTGGCCAAAGTAGAAAAGGGTCCTAAACATAGCTATCCAAATCCATGACTTCCTTCATATTTCTTTGCCTCTTCCACTTCCTATTCTAAACTTCTTAGACCATCTCCAACAAGCAATTGGAAAAATGCTAGAATGCCAAATGATTTTGGCATTTTGGCACTCCAAAAGTGGTTTTTGCTCCAACAAGCAATGTCAAAATGCCAAAATGACAAATCTTCTCTTTTTCTAATAAACTAGTTTACTGTAGATTTGATCATTTTAATTAGATAGTTTGTAGATTATTTGTATACAGGTAATAATAATTAATTACGACGAACATTTCGACATAATTTTTTTTTAATTTTGACTTAATTTCAACATAATTTTTTTTTAATTTGCAACGGCTATAAGCGAAACTGACGCGCGAAGGGGGGATTGCGCGGAACGAGCGACGTGGATTGGATCGGGGCCGCGCAATCCCCCTGCGTGCGTCGGCTTCTCGGAAAAGGGGGGTCAAGCTCAAGTGAGAGAATATGGCATTTCTTGTCTTTTTCTAGTGGGTATTTGGCAAAAAAATTTTGGCATTTTTGGCTTTTTAGCTTTTCCCAATTGTTGTTGGAGGAGATGTTTTAGCAATTTTGGCATTTTGGCTTAGTTGTTGGAGATGGTCTTATGCTCTCTCTCAAGTCTTAATCAAATGACTCCTCGGAAAAAAATCTTCTTTACCCTTGCAATTGATGGCTCGACCAGCTGTCCAGGGGCCTTATCTCAAAAGCTATTGGACCATACTCTATCTTCTCGAACACTCTGGGCAGCTCCTCCAGCTCCTCTTTCGTTGACGGCCTCACAATGGGGAAAGAGAATACGAAAGCATACAACCATTCGGCCGAAATAGTTGATTGCGGAAGTGGTAGCGACATTGGTGAGTAGTGACGAACCCAACATGCATTGACTCCAGAATCCTCACATTGAAGCCTCCTTCTGTCTTTTCTATATAGGTGTCTCTCTACAAAGCTTTCAACCTAGATCTGGCTTAATTAAATTGCAATTTTTAGATTGGGAAGGATGAGGCACGATATATAGGAATTATGAAGATAAGATCCCGAATTCTGCCATCATATCTGGGAGGGAAGCGACAGCCCGATCGGCTGGTAGAGCAGTGTTTGTTGGCAGTCGGTTTTTGGTGAGGGAAGTGGAGATCCAGACTCTAGAGTTTGTCGGAGAGGTCAACCGCCAACCAGGGACGGAGCCAGGATTTCGAGACCGGGTGGGCCGAAAAAAGAAAATGCAAATAAAAATAAAATAATTAGTTTTAAAGTCTACAACGTTCTTTGAGATTATTGAAATCTTTCAAAATAGCATATAAAAATAAAATAATTAGCTTTAAAGTCTACAACATTCTTTGAGATCATTTAAACATCTCAAAATAGCATCTGAACTAAACTTTTTAGCTATCTTTCTTTCAATATAAATAACTAAATCATTAACAAAAAAACTCATCATTTATTTTGTTTCGCAATCTATTCTTCACTATCTTTATAGCTGAAAACATGCACGATCACATGTAACTTTAGAAATTTGGAAGAGTTAGAAGAAGATAAATCAACCTATCAACAAAATAAAATTCATTTGACGTTAATCTTTTTGTTCATTCCGACATAGATAAAAAAAATATATAAAGAGCTAAAAATCTCAAGTGAACTAAATAGAGGTTGATTTTTTCATTTGTAGCTGGATTAAAGTAACAAAAAGAAATGAAAATGAGTGGGTATCCGTTTGCTTTGGTCCAGGACCTTGTGGAGGAGAATTACGATAATAAAGTCCAAAAAGAAGTTAAAGCAAAAATGAGGTTGTTGTGGATCGAACATGTTTGCTTTAGGCTAAAAGTTTAGTTTAGCTACTAATAGACTTTATGATTTTATATGACACAATGTGTAGGTCGAGCACTACTTATCCAAATTTTTTCTAAATATTCTTACGATCCTAGGGGGTCGAGACTATTACCGGGTGGGCGGGACCCACCCTACTCTCTGAGTAGCTCCGCCCCTGCCGCCAACGATGGATGATGGATAGGTACTGGGGGTTGAGAGGGTTGCTGAGATGGAAAATCGGGGTTTAGGGAGAGGAAAAGGGGAAATTGGGGATCTTCTTCGACATTCATTCCGTGGGTTTGGAGATGGGAGTTGGTAAATTGAGGACTGAATTAGAGGGGGGAAAGAGCAGTCCAAAGCAAAGAGAAGGGGCTCAATGACGGTTCCTTCTCTAATGTGGTGATGGTCGTCGGAGAGTGATTTAGAAGACATGGAGCTCGGGGATTGACGATTGAGAAAGGGATGTGAAAATGAATGGGGTGATTGAGAAGTGATGAGGCTGGATCTCAGCCGCCATTGTTCGTCGGGGTGTTGTTGAGATGGTTCGGGGAGCTGAGAGAGAGGGGAGAGAATAGCAGAAGTTTGGAGTGGGTGGGACTTTGGGAGGTGGGTTGACAGATGTGAGAGGAGAGAGAAGGGAAAAAGGGCTGAGTCAGTGTGTGGCCCACCGATTTTATAGGTGCAGCTGATCAGGTGCATCTATCTTTTTTTTACCTCATGTGTCTGTCAAACTTTAACTCACACCAAAGACCATGTTTAGCCTGCCCAAAGATAATTACACATGAGCTCATGTGAAGTAGACCGCAGCGAATCACCCAGTCCTCTTCGTGAACAGTGTGAGCGCTTTTTTCGTAATGAACCGTGTTTTTTTGATTTTTTGGTAATTTTTGTCTGCTTGTGGTTTAATAATTCTAATAATAGTTTGTGAGATGTGGTTATATGATTTATTATGGATCTTGTATTCTTCTTATGATCATATTCAGACTTATTTGAACTTTTTATGGTCAAAAGATATCATATATTGATCAAAGAAAATAGATAGTTACATCCTGGAAACCAGCCAGGCCCGGAAATCAAAGAAGTGACATGTAGTCGGATACAAAGAGAGGGCTTTCCTAGCTACCGAATGAGCTACCCTATTGTTCTCCCGACCTACAAAGCGCACACTAAAACCAGGCTGGGTGCGAAAAAAATAACATATTTCTTCCAGAATAGCACCTAACCGGACATCCCTTGTGTCGGCTATGATACGTGAATTTTAAATCTTCATCAAATTCATTATCTTTTTGAACGATCATTTGTTTGTAATTTATATATTTGGGTCAAGAGGGCAGGTTCAATTTGGATTGTCAGGTCACAGGTTAGTGGAGTGACAGTTCAATTTAGTTGCAAGTCGGTCGAGTTGTGGGCTGAGTTACTCGGAAGCATTAATCTTGCAGACTAAAATGTGTACACTAGCAAGGGAAAATACTTTGAAATGTGCTTCTGAAAATTTTCAGAATCTAGATTAACCTAAATGAGACTAACACACACAAATATATATATAAATATATATATATATATATATGGAAACGACTCGTATGCGTCAGACACATACTATGCGACAGGATTCTCTACCGTAGATCTAATCTAACAGTCATTATAAATTATATTAAAATTACTAATAATAATTACTAATTGCACCCCTTAAATAATTATATGTGCTATATAGCCCCCCAATAATAATTTGCGTTTTATTTTCTCACATGATACCTATTCGTTTTTGTGAGGACTCAGATGATACCTCATTTCTTCTAGATCTTTTAATGAACACCCAAAAATTATACAATTGATAAAATAAAGTTCCATTAAAAGGTTGCCCCAATTCGACAATCCTAAACCACCATCATCGTCATAACGATTTTTCCAGATACCCCAATTGCAAACCACTAATTTTACCATCAGTCCATCATCATCATCGTCCCTGCTTCTGATCTACATCGACTTTGGCTCATCATCATCTGTTTTTAAGGTCGCAGATGACAACTACCCTTTCGCGACGAATCCGAAACAATTGACGGTGAAAGACTATGACCTTTACGTCCTGTAAACAATGACTAAGGCTGAAATAGAGAGAGGGGATTGGGTCTCGTCAAGGGAATTCTCTTGGTCGGAGTCCAGAATCGTAACGGAGTGAGAAAGTTTGGACGATGAAGAGAGACGGCCGTCGGATTACGGTGGTGACGGCGGCAACTTGATAATTGGGAATTTGGGGGGCTAGGGAAGACGATGATACATGAAAGGGAATTCTCTTGGTCGGAGTCCAGAATAGTGAGAAAGTTTGGACGATGAAGAGAGACGGCCGTCGGATTACGGTGGTGACGGCGGCAACTGGATAATTGGGAATTTGGGGGGCTAGGGAAGACGACGATACATGAAAAAACGGCATCGTTTTGTGCTCGTCTCTGAATCGAAAGTGGCCTGGAGAACGGCGTCGTTCTATAGGTGTAGCTGAAAAAAAAAATTATAATGGTATGAGGATCGAACCAGCGTCCTGGTGGTTACCAAGGGCATTGTTCACCATTCATGCTATACAAGGATTTTGATTCAATATACAAACACTTTTTTATTTATAACTTAAAAATTAGTTCTTGTAAAATTAAAACACAAAACTAACCTAAGCAGGCCTTTTGTACCAGGCCCAATAGGGCTTAGTCCAGCAGATCGGCGGCTGCCCCTGCCCTCCCTTTGTCTCTTTAACAATAATCAATTGTAAAAAATAAAATAAAACAGAGAACAATAATGGCAAAGTTGAAAATTGGAAGACTACTTACCTACCAAATCTAGCAAACGATTTATCTTCTGCTTTTTCTCCCCTCCCCATGCGCTACCTTTTCGGTTTTCCTTCAAACTGATCAGACACATACTCAAACTCAACCGCCCTCATCCTCTCTCCGCCTCCGTTGCATGTCTCCGCCTCCGCCTGTCAAGCAACCGCTGGTCGCTCAGTAGCGGTCTCCTCCTCCGGGCCACCATAGTCGCCTGCCACCTCCGCCGCTGATTCGCTGTAGCGGTTGTGGGAAGAAGAGCGGAGGAAAGTCGCCCGGACTAACCACGTCGGTTGTGGGAAGAAGAGCGGGCCACCATCGTCGCTTGCCACCTCCGCCGCTGACTCGTTCCCGATCTGCTCAAATAACCACGCGGTGTCGCCGGCCACGTTTCCACCGCCGCAGGTACTTTTCTTTAATTGATTGTTAACTATTTGGTACGTTCTATTAGAATAGTTGATCATAATGTGTTCTTATACTCCTATTGAACATCCACAGTACGTGCAAGAACAGAAATTGAGTAGGGTTTCCGTGCTGTAATTTTCTGACAATGGATGATATATCGCAATGGTACCCGTAAGTATTGTTTACCAACTAATCGTTACGACAGTCTACTCCGCTTCCTTTTCCTATTGTCAGCCATTACTAACGTCTAACGGTTTTTTTTATAGCGACTTTCTGGTTGAGCCTGGTTTCGTTGCAAAGCTGAAGTATGAGGAAGCAGTACATATGTCTATTTTGTCGGATTCAATCGATCTTACATTGTTGCAAGAGAATGGTGACGATGAGGTTATTGAAAATTTGAAATTAACTTTTTTGTCATTCATCCTTTCGATCTCGTTTGCAATTATTGTGTTTGTTAATGCTTGTTAATTTTCTTTTAAATTCCTTTTCTTGTTTTAAACACCAGGGCACTGCTTACCTCATCTCCGGACGTGTCGGCGAGGTGAAGACATCCTGGTGTGCTGAATGTAGAGTTCATTTGATCCACCTAACTATCGAGGATGATTATTTGGATATTGAGGTTGTTTTCCCATCGACAAACTTGCGCAAAATCGTTTCAGATGTAGTAAGTGATAAAGATATGGCCAATGCCGATTTCGTTACCCTTATCAACTTGATTGGTGGAAACTCCTATGAGTTTATGGTCACATTGGGTCCTTGGAACAATGTGTCGAGTTATTTTGAGCTGTTATTGGTAAAATTATTTTTTCCTCCCGGAAACTGAATACCATTTCAGCAATGTCAATAGAATCTACTAAAGTTGCTTAGTGTCCGCCTTAATGTTATGTCTCTTGTTATGCAAGTGTACTAAGTGAGTGAACACAATGCTTTTTTGACGGGTTCTACCCTTCTTAATGAATTGTTCCTTGTATCTTTCTATACTTATCGAAACATTTCTCTATTACTTATAAATGGGATCAGTTGCCTAATGAAAAGTTATGAAACAAAATTCATGTTAATTTGGTTCAAATTACTGTATCATCAACATACCACACCCCAATTCGACTACCCAAAAGGCCATTATCTGTTCACGGTTCACCCAAGCTACCCCATAGCTAACCATTTATCTCACCAACAGCCATCAAAACCCAACAACCATCAAAACCATGGTTATCTCCAATTACTGCCCAGGGAAGACGATGAGACATGACAAACGTCGTCGTTTGTGCTTGCTGCTAAAGCGAGAGTGTCCCAAGGACGACGTCGTTCCACAAGCGTAGCTGAAACATGATTACATGGATGTGGGTAAAAGAAATAAGAGAATATGGAGAATCGAACAGGCAACCTTGTGATGATAATAGCAAATCTTAACCATCAATGCTGTACAGGTATTTTGATAGTTTAAATGTACACGTTTTATATACATATTTTGTAACAATTAAACATAATAACAAAAATAATTAAGGAAGTAAAGCAAAATAAATGAAGACGGCGACAATTCTCTTCAATAGAAGTCAATGGTTTTGCCGTGACTATATTATATGAAAAAGCTATCTACATGTGCATACCATGCATTTGGACAATAAACCTTCCATACTACTTGTAGACAGCAGTTTTTGTCAGGGTTAAAATATTTTTAATAAAATGTTAATTAGTTTCAATTTACGGTTTGCAATAGCAAATCTTTAATGGCCTTCTAACTAAAACGTATTTGTAGTGTTTGGGAAATGTATTGGTTATCATAACTGAATAAGATTAGCAATAGCAAATCTTATTTGGTACAATTTGGATTATTGAGATTAGCAATAGCAAATCTTAATCGATACAATTTGATAGTGATGGCATGCTTCAGTTAGACGATCTAGTTTTAAATCGAAGGAGTTGGGCTATGGAATGAATACTTGTATGATTCTCTACCGTAGATCTAATCTAACGGTCATTATAAATTATAGGCAAAATACACTTGCATAGCCAAAACTTTCACCTTTGTGCCACTTATAGCCACATTTGGCGAAATACCTCTAATAGCCACTTTTGAAAGATGTTGCGTAGGGGTGTACATGGGTTGGGTGGTCCGGGTTTAGCCATTTTATCACCCAACCCATGCACTACGGTTTGGAAAATATCAAACCAAAACCCACCCTAAAAAATTTAAACCCTACGGTTTGTTTCTAATTGGGTTGGGTCGGGTTGGCGATATTTTTAAGTAAAAACCCAACCCAACATAAAATATATAATTATTCTACATCATAAAAATATTTTATAACTAATTAAAATTTCAAACGAATAAACCGTGGTGAAAGGTATCAAAATTCACATATGTTGTTTGAATTTTAATAAAATGTTATTTACTTCAAAATATGTCTAGTTTTTTTACGATATTTGTTGAAATAGGCTAAAAAGGTTATAAACAAACGCACCCACAATATGTTATTCTATTAAAATTGTACACACGAAAAACGATTACGTGAATCATAACTATATTCAATTTGTGTAAACTTTAAGTCGAATAATGCATTAGATTAGGGAGACCATAAGAAAAAAACATGGCGAAATATCTTAATTTTCTCATAAGTATGGCTATATACGACATAAATATTTTTTAGATACGAACTCATACTAATAATTGGAACACTGGTTGGGTCGGTTTGGACGGGTGGGTCGGTTTGCGGGTATGTTTGTTCACCCCTAATGTTGGTTGCCAGATATAGCCATTTTCGTTAGAAACTATGACGGCGTTAATAACTCCGTCAACTTATTTGACGGTTCGCTGACGAGGCGCCAAATCATCAACCACGTCAGCGACAACAAAGCAAAAATTGACACGTCATCTTAATAATTTATTTATTATTAAAAAAAATTTAAAACTTTCTCCATCTACCTGATCGCACGAGGCTACCAAAAATCCCCATCTATTTCCAGAAAACGAAATTAGGGCTTCCTTCTTCTCCATCTCTTTCTAGAAAACGAAATTAGGGTTCTTCCCAAATTTCCTCTTCCCCACGAAGGAGATACACGAAGCTGATCGATGCTTACTCCTCTTCCCCAAATCTTCTTCTAGTTTCTGAACGACTCGGCGCTTCTTCCTTCTTCCCCAAATCCCACTTCTTCTCGGCCGATTCGCGACCCCGAAATTGCGATTTCTCCTGGCCAGAACTTCACGCGAAGGTCAGCCATGTCCAAGCGAGCATCTTCCTCAACTTCGACTAGCATCAATAGCCGAGGGGCGGTACTCTGTTGGCACAAGAAGCCATGTGTGGTGAATACATCTGGAACCGAAGCGAACCCAGGAAGACAGTTCTATGGGTGTCCATTTTGGATGGTAAGGTGTTTAGATATGTGTTTTGAAATTGTCATTGATGTGGGTTCTAAGTTAAATGGTCGTATGGTGCAGGACGAGAAGAAGAAATGTCGTTTTTTTAGGTGGGTGCGAATGAATGTCGATGAAGATAAGCACCATGACTCTGAAATTGGGTGTTCGACTTTGAATATTGAAGAAATTTTGAGGCTAGCTGAGTGTAAGGCGGAAAGGAGGAAGAAGGAGAAGAAACTTTTGGCTGAAGAGCTATCAAGATGGATGAAGGCACATGAAATTATGCTAGCTGAAGGAAGGAGAGTTAATCATGAAATCCATGTAATTCGAGCTTTATTGATAGTGATTGTCGTACAGAACCTAATATTGGTTATTCTTATGTTGCATCACGTTATTATATGGTAGGAAATTAATCGACATTGATATGAGAAGCAAAAGGTTTCTGAAAACGTAGTTGTCATCCTAAATGTTGTGTAGAAGCAATTGGTATTTGTGTTCTTAATGTAGTTGTGTTCTTAATGCTTGTTACACTATATTGATTTAGAAAATGCCACACATTTGTCAATTAAGGCTGGCTACATAACTTGGTTTGTCTTTAGGGTACGTTTAAAATCAGGAATAAAATGTTGGAATTCCATTAATATGTTTTATAGGGTATGTGATTGTATTTGGTGCAGAAGACCACCTGAGTGGCAGGTAGCAGGTCCCGAATTTGGCATATGACACGAGTGGTTCTTGTAGATGTGGCACTATAGCATTGGTATTTTTAGATAGAGTGGATGCAATAGAAATTCTTCCATGCTCCGAGATCACCATGTCATTTTACTGACATGGTACTCTCAACTAATAAAAAACAGCCACTTGGAAATTGAGTAATTAATAAAATACAGAAATGGAATTGACTCGCATTTAATTAGTTTCTCAATTAATTGGTTAATCTTTCCTTATTGATTACTAGCACCGGGCCCGGCCCTTTGGCCGGCTAGAGGCCCATTAATCCAGCCGTAAGGTATCCAGGCGCAATTGAATTAAAGGCCCAAATTTTTCCCCTTTACTTTTATAAATTGAGTAAAATTATTAAACTAAGAAATAGTAACCCAAAATCAAAAGACGAAAACGGTTCAGTTTCCTTCTTCTCTTCCATTCCTCTGTTCAGTCTCCGACGAAGAATTACAACGTAAGAATTACATAACAGTGCTACTATTAATGCATTCTAGTCCCAAATCTCTTCCATTCATTATATGAGATAATGTAGTGAGACTGCCAATTGGCAAACCAATTTAACACAAATCAAAAAACAGAAATGGATAATTCACAAAGGCAACAAATGGTAGTTCATAAATGAAAAGAACACAAATTAACACTTAACCAAGTTCAAATAAATAGAACTTAGAAACATAGTCTGAAAGGTGCATTTCGTGTATTAGAATATCTAGCAAATGATTTGTGGGGAACGAAAGCAAAAAAGAAAAAAGAATAATAAAAAAATCAACCTACCATAAAAACAGGAGGAAATCAAAACTAACTCCTACATGGAAAGTAGAAGATATTCAACCAAAAAAACGTTTTACTTGCCTTTAAAGAAATTATTTATCTATTAATGACTTACAATTAATTACAATGGAAAGTAGAAGCCAAAAATACATGCTGCCTTTGTGATTTGAACCTGTATACAAGGAGTCATATTTCCACACTATTTCCGCTACGCCAAATGACATTCACTGTCTTTAATTTGGCGTAGTAATTATTTAATTTTTTAGTTTATACATAATATCTCAAACCATTATCGTGACTGTTGAGATTGGGGTCAAGGTTGTTGGATCCTTGAAGATTATAAATCTCGATCCATAATAACACTAAGGGATTTGGGGTCGTAGTATAGTTGTCGTGGTATAGTGGTCGACGTAGGACGTATCCCTAGGCAAAATGGCCTCGCCTACTAGTTGAGCATAATCATAATCTAATAAAACCTTATAGTTTTAGTTTAAATTAAACTAGCCAACTTGAATCTATGAAAGATGCGCTACAACGATACTTTTGTAGTCATCTCCCTAACCCTAATTGTCACAAAAATCGTGCAACAGATGATAAACATATCCAAGGTAGTTTAGGCAAGAGGGTTGATAATCTGAAAATCAATGCAATGGATAAGTCTTCCTAGTCAAAGCAAGGTTAGCTCAAATTTCAAGAAGGCTGGTTTGGGATCCTAGATTCCTAGTTATGTAGCGTAATTCGAATTGGGGATCATTTGTCGCCCAAATAAGTTGTTGAATAGAATTGAATTATTGTGTACGAAAGCAAGCATTGTGTTTTATGGTTGTTGTCATACTAACATTGGTAGAGTTGTATGTCGTAGGGAGTGTGGTAGCCATACATTAAATTGATTGGGCTCCTTTTTATTTTCAAAATGCAAAATTCCGTTTATCTAATGAAGTTTGAGTTAATTGGTGTCCTTAGATGAGCTAACCTGAACGAAAGTATGAGGTCCTAAATTCAAAGGATCATATTTAACCTTACATATCTGAAGAATTTTGTATCCCTGTTTTTTTCCCAACTGAGTCCTATGACCCCTCTCCTCAAGAGGTGGCTCAGCCACTGCCCGTATGGTGTTTACGTATTCAACAATTGTAAAATGCAACATTTCAACGCTTAATTATAACACAACGTGGTTAGTAATCCTAGATTGATTTACGACATACAACGTTTTCAACAGATCTTGGTATTCTCATTGTTTACAACGTGTTAAACTATAGGAAATTAAATTGATTAAAGAAACTCCCATTGTTTACATAGGGACCAACTAACCATCCCCCATTGGCCCATTTTCCCTCCCTGTTTTTTGTTTAAAAACTATTTATGTTAGTAGGAAAAAAAAGGAAACAATGCATGTTGGCCATGTGTTCTCAAGCGCAGCCCATTCACAGCCCTTCTCTCCCACGCGGTACGCGCATTGGTTTTGGAAATCCAAACCCTAAATTCCATTTTTCCCTTCCGTTCTCCCCAATCCAGCCGCTCCCTCCTTTCCACCATAACCAAGATGAAACACTAGCCGTCGCTCATTACACATTCCCCCT